GGACTTGGCTATCATAACAATGATGGGATGAAATGACTGACCTATAGCTGGCTGTAAAATGTGAAACTATAAATCAATCCCTGATGCTTGAAAAGTATGAATGAAGATTCAACAAAGGAAAAAGGAATGATATGGGCACTACTTCAACCTGCTCTTAAAACGCCACTAAAGCAGTAGTCCTTTACAGTTCAGATAAAGATGGCTCAGTCCATTATTGTCTTAACCTCTCCTAACTGGCTATAGAACCCAAGTATAGATTTCTGCTTCCTCCAAGTAACAGATATCTCCAAAAGTCCCTGGCTCAGGGAACTTAATATACAGTGGAAGGACTAAGATTAAAGAAGACTTCAGGGGCCGGGGATTTAGCTCAGTGGTTTCGCTGCCTGCTGTGCAAGCGTAAGGACCTGAGTTCGATCCCCGGTACCAAAAAAAAAAAAAAAAAGACTTCAGCTTTAGAAAAATAAGAATCCAGGGCCCGGGATTTAGCTCAGTGGTGCCACTGCCTGCCTTGCAAGCACAATGTCCCGAGTTCAATCCCCAGTACCAGAAAAAAAAAGAGAAAAATAAGAATCTGTTCATTGCCCTTTCTTAGGGTTACTGGTAGAATATGTATTTTATTTTGTCTTGACTAGTTATCTATTCTATGGACAGAAGATTTTTATACTGTAGAATAAAAATTCCAGTAGAAGTTACATAGTCACCTGCAGATCACTTTCATATAATAAAAAGACATAAAAGAAGATCATGTTTTTGTTGATTGCTCCCTTAGAGTTTCCTTTTTTTTTTTTTGTACCAGGGACTGAACTCAGGACCTTGCACTTGTGAGGCAGGCACAGTGCCACTGAGCTAAATCCTCAGTAAGTTTCCTTTTAAAATTATGACCTAAATATAAAATCCTATCTCCTAATATTCTAACATTTACAATTTATTTTTTAGCTATTGTAAAAAAAATTCTGGTAGACTGTCCAGAGAGGAAACATTGCTGCCAGGTATCTCAGAGAGAGAACTGAACAAGCCAGGCTCACAGGGCTATTTTGAAAAGAGGCAACCCTTCACAGTCCCTTGATATCCTGTTTCTGCGATGATTTGGCATTAATTTCTCAGGACTAGTGTGAAAAGGAAGAATGCAGAGAAATCTCTCCTGAGGGCTTTATTTGCCTGTAATTGTTTCACATAATTTTATGCCTAGAACTCAATAAATTTTCTTGCACTTATACTAACAAGTATAGCTATTTATCAAAGCATGTTCTACAATACTGGAGAATGGAGGGCAGGCTACCTCAGTCATACATTTTGGTATTAGTAATTATGTTGAGACCAGATCATTGGCCTATTGGACCCCTCTCTTATACTGAATCTTTCCTTTAGGAAAGCATTGTTGCAACTCTTCCCTGCCCGCTGATTTCACTTGAGCCTATTAAATATTGGTGAAACTCATTAACTGGGCTTTGAACATTTTTTTTCCTGGTGACATTTTGGCCTCTTGAAAAATGTGTTCATTCTCCAATATAGAGGATCCAGAAAAAACCCTAAGCACATTGGACTCTTTGATCTTTGACAAAAAGGGCCAAAACATACACTGGAAGAAAAATAGCCTCTTTAATAAATGGTGCTGGAAAACTGGCTCTCCATGTGGAGAAGATTAAAGCTTAGACCTATATCTCTTACCATATACTAATCTAAAATCAAAATGGATCAAAAAACTAAGTTTAAGCTGAAACACTTAACCTGTTGTGAAAATAAAGTAGGTAAAGCTCTTGAAGATATACCCATAGGCAAAGATTTTCTGAACAGAATAACTGTTATAAAGAAAACAGTACCAAGAATCTACAAATGGGATCATATTAAATTAAAAAGCTTCTGCACAGCAAAAGGAACAACCAGCAGAGTGAAAAGACAACCTACATACAGAAGAGGAAAATATTTTTGCCAGCTATTCTTCAGACAGGGGACTAATATCTAGAATATATAAAAAACTCAAAAAAGTTAGACACCCCCGCCCAAAAAAAAGACCCAGTCAAAAAAAATGGGCAAGTGAAATGAACATTCACTTTGCAGAAGCATAAATGACCAATAAATACATGAAATGTTCAACATTCTGGCCATCTAGAAAGAATGGCCATCATCATGCAGGCCTCAGCCAGAATCCCACCCAGATGCCAAAGGCTAAGGCACGCAGGCCCCAGCCAGAGTTCCACCCAGATACCATCAGTAAGTGCACACAAACCCCAGCCAGAAGCCTGCCTGGACATCAGTGGCGTGGAGGCACAGACCCCAGACTGTGCAGCAGACTGCAGTGGTGGAAATGAGAAGACACCTAGACAAGACTCAACACCAGACTTCTAGATCACCACAGCCAAACCCAAGGGACGACCAGATGGAATAATCTGAAACTCAACCACCTAGACTCCCTGAACTGACGACGAAAGAGGATCTGGAAAAAATAAAATCAATTATTTCTCAGATAACAGCAGAGATTGTGCCCATAGTTCAAGACATGATTAATAACTCTAGAGCAGACACAGATAAAAAAAGAGAGGAGATGAGGAAAATGATGGAATCCCAGCATAGGAAAAAAATGGAATTAATAAAATAGATTAAAACAGATATCCAGAACATTAAAAACTCCACTGAAAGTTTATGCAGCAGAATGAGCCAATGTGAGGACAGAATATCAGATATAGAAGACAGGATTGAGATTAGTGACCAGGAAAAGAAAGATTTCTTAAAAATACCAAGGGAGCATGAGAAATCAACCCAGCAGCTGCTAGATGATACAAAGAAGAA